TATATATATTTTACATATAATTATGTATATTATTCATTTTACTGTATATATTGAGGTATGTGTTTGTGGTGTTTGTGGTTTTCTTGCTAGCTTATGTTTGTGTGTGTGTGTGTGTGTGTGTGTGTATATATGTGTGTGTGTGTGTCAAATCAAATCAAATCTCTTTATTGTCACACAAGTGTAACGATGGTGAAATTATTGTGTACAAGACTCTGTTCCATGGCAGTGCAAGCAACAAGATATGAAAAATTGACAGTATACATAAATAACAATATACACATTTATACAATATACAATTTTTTCACAATATACAATAGACAATTGTACACAATATACACATTTCCATAATATACACATAGTACACAGTATACTCAAGAGACTTAAAAATTTATAGCTTTTATATATGACTTACAGTGATGTATACGGTAGTGTTTTATTGTGAAGTTCAGTGCAGTAGTTTGTTAGTGCAGAAGAGAAGATGGAGCTGCATGTGTTCTATGCTATGCAGTGCAAGACATGCTACAGTGCTGTCAGAGTCAGTGTGCTGGTGTGTAGATGTGTGTGATTATCGTTTTGCTATCTGGTTCGGGTCCTGATGCTGCGGTATCGTCTGCCTGATGGTAGCAGTGAGAAGAGTTCGTGGCTCGGGTGGCAGGAGTCTCTGATGATCTTCGTGCTTTCCTCACACATCTCTGGGTGTAGATGTCCTGGAGGGAGGGAAGCTCACCTCCGACGATGTGCTGGGCTGTCTGAACTATTCTCTGCAGGGCTTTCCGGTTGAGAGCGGTGCAGTTCCCGTACCAGGCGGTGATGCAGCCAGTCAGGATGCTCTCCACAGTGCAACTGTAGAACTGTCTGAGGATTTTTGAGCTCAGACCAAATTTCTTCAGTCGCCTGAGGAAGAAGAGACGCTGGTGGGCCTTCCTCACTACTGACTGTGTGTGAGTAGTCCAGGTGAGGTCCTCGGTGATGCCGAGAAACTTGAAGCTGCTGACCCGCTCCACTGGGTTTTCTAAGGTATTGTTATCAAATTTGAAACATTTTGCTTGGTAAGCCTTTATTCTGTGATCCAAATGTATTTTCCAGCAAATAGCTCCCAGCTATAGTCATCTGCAGGCATTTGTTTACAAACAAAAAAAAATGTAGGCAGATTTTTTTTTTCAGTGTGTTCAAAGTTCTATTACTCAATACCAGTAAGACTTACAGTGATTTTGACTGTTGAGGAACACACCTCAGAGTGTCACCTTTCAAAAGAGACCAAAACCATGTATGTACTCCAAATGGTTCAAGAACAGCATGCAATTTACTTTGTGTACGCCTTTTTTAGGCGTTTTAGGCAAATTTTACAGGAACGGTAAAGGGTTAATTAAACTGAGCTAATGCAACACAATTCTTGAACATTTTGTCACAACTTAATTTTATTGAATTCAATCCACTTAAATTTGTAAAATGGACATTTATCCATTTGTTTTGGAACTTAAATGTAATGACTCTTGTTGCATTAATTGAAAATGGGCAGTGGATTTTTATTTTCAGGCATGCTTGAGACTGCATTGGAAGAGTAAAAGTTTTCTTTTATGAGGATGGGTAGATGATAATGTGGTTTTAAAGAGCAATTGACCCTTTGCTGGAAGTTTGATTGACAGGTGATCTGACCAATCATAATGCAAATCTGCCATTTTGTTCGACAAACAAACCAGACAGTCGGTGGACTTTATATACTTGAAAAATGGTGTGTATTGACATCTTTTTGCAATGAAACAAGATTCCTTCTGATGTTCATTCATGTTTATTTCATGCTTTAACTAGTTAATAGGAACAGATGATCGGTTCACGTGATCAGCTACAGTCACACATTAAAGAGCCACAAAATGGTATTTAATGTTTGAATTTGTTAAAAAAGACAAAATCTGAAAGCTGAGAATTTGTTTCGCACCATGAAGTAACCTGCTTTGTCTTGTCTGTCATTGTTGTCAGTGTCCTCTTTGCTCCCCAATGTATTTTTCACTGCATGAGAACATGATGTGTGAAGTGAGAGCGCCATGGCTTGTCGGACGTAGCAACCGTAACTAAGGGAGGGGGGTCTTTGCAAAGGGTCCATTACAGCACTAAAGCAAGTTTGTTAACTATTCTTTCCTGTCTTGTTCATTGTGTACATTTCAAATGGTAAAAGTTATAGCTACAGCAGTAGTTAACCTGAAATAGATTAAGTTACTTTGATAAATTGTATTTTGTTTACTTTATGCAGTTAAGTTTCATCTACATAAGGCATATATACATAAAGTGTTCAAAGTGCTCATATTTTATACATTAAGTGTTCAGAGCGCAGTTAAATTTGACCAGATGCAAATTAACTGTTTTGCTAATAAGTATGCATTTATTTTATTCTATATATAGAATAGAGTATATTCTTCTTTCTTTTATTCTTCAAAGTTTTGGGGTAAAAATGTTGGATATGTGAGGTATCTGCCTATTTTTACATCTGTTTCATTCTTTCTCATCTATTCCAGAGCCTTATGTTTGACCCTGGAATGTCTGCATCATTGGGATGCATGAATTCCAGTGCGAGACAAACTCAGGGCTTATTAATATTCCGGTTCCCTATGCCTGAGCCTGCTCACCGTCCCCCAAGGACAGAGCCAAGAGTGTGCGGAGTGTCATCCGAATGAAATAAAAAAATTAGTTATCGATGGCATGCAGAACCACAGGGCTGAATTGAATCATGTGATCCAGAGCGTGCCCGGTTCTACGCCAGCCTCACTCTGTTAATTCCAGAGCTGAGCAATCAGTCACAATGGGGTCTGAAACAAGGCCAAAGCCAAGGTCGTTGGTGCTGCTCGGAACAGATCATCACAGCCAGGGAAAACACGATGAGAGACTTAGGAATGTGATTAGGCAGACAGGACGTCAATACACAGCCTCGTACCCACACACACACATACTTAATGGTCTGCTTCACATCTGCGGCTTATGATGGACTGAGATGGAATGCACTGAGGACTGTTTGAAAGAAGTAATTTCAGCAGAGCTTCTGGCTTCCCTTTCAAATCCCAATTTGCAAAAGAATAATATCATCAATCAATCCAATGTTCCAAGATCTCAATCTAATGCTCCGTCTCCAGTGCGGTCAGCTGTCAGTCTTTTTACCTGATACTATGTTTGTGTAAAGAGATGGGGATTTTGATTAATATGGGAAAGAGAACAGTTGTCATTAACTGAGTCTAATTAGAAATGCATCCCTGAAAAGTTACTCAGCCATATAGTTTCACTCAATCCCACCTATATGCATGCAGCCAAGAACACTTTCTAACACTGTTGGG